TGAACCAGCGCCAAAGCCCAGATGGCTCAGTGATCGGACCACCAGGGCTTCTGCGGGGTGAGGAAACAAATCTGTTGCTCTGACTAATAGCCTCGCAATGATGTGTTGGACCGGAGTTGTGTGTAAACACGTTAAAAAAACATGTATTTCATCCTGGATGTAGACCTCTAAGTGGCAGATGAAAGCCTCATCTCAATCTACTTTACAATAGAGAGAAGTCTTTCATAAAGAATTATGAACACAGATCAGACAAAGAACCATGAAAGGATTATAGCGATGAGATGACTGTACAGCAGCAATCCACATACGTTTAATTCATTTGTCAATTCATGTTTTTTACTGTAAATAATTATACAATAAACACTTTCTTTGAAGAGGGAGACAGAGGGGATAACAAGCGGCAAATGGTCCGATGGTGGATATCGAACCCGGGTCCTCCTCATGGGGACCAAGACAAGTAGATGGGCTGCCAGTTCTATCAATCTATACAGCTAGCGCAAAAATAAGTTCTTAAATTGAAAAATAATGCATTATACTGATAAAAAGCATCTCTCAAACTCATCCAATGGCTCATAATAATATGATAATAGATTAATAGGCAGTGTTTGGAGATTTTACTTTTCACAATCGTGAAATTCAGGGATTTGACTTGTAATATTTCTCCTTTTGATTAAGTAAAGGATCTGAGTACTTCTTCCACCTCTGTATATAGCAGAACGCTGTGGTTGGATCCGAAAACATTTTAATAATACAACTGTACAGTGGCTACCATATGCCGGGCTCGGCCTCAATAACCTCTGCCCTTTGTAGAGGAACTGCACTTACTAATCAAGACTTGTGTGTGCCGGGCCACAGACCAGCCGCGCTTTACAACGTGGAACTGTCACAATATAAGTCATCACTTTGAATCACAAAACACTGATCACAAAAGATCAAAATAACCTTTGAAAAAGAAGAGATGGGGGTGGAAATTGAACTGTACACAGGGACGTAAATAGCCATCCTAGATGTTCACAGTGACAAGAAGACGGCAATTGCAGCCTCTATTTTTAGGCTCGCCGGTGGCCTGGGCTGGCAGCTTTGGGGAGGATGTGTACTTTTCTTCAGTTCCTTTCCAAAAATCAACGCTGTCCTCACTGGCGACAATCACAGAGCAGCTGTTGTGGCTAGGTGGCCTGGCCCGGCGTGCCTCACCCTGTTGCTCTCTGCCAGCTTTTGAAAAGTGCATTCAATGCCCAAAACTCACACCCGGGCCACAAAAATAGACAGAAAAGCGTGTGTGACCTAATGTGTTGTCATCCGGTGAAATTTCCGCAAATTATGGAGGTTTTATCAACGCTGGTGGCAGCGGTAGTGATTGAGGGGGGGCTGGTTTCTAAATGTACATAAGGCAGGATGCTTCGGAGCCAATTTGTTTAAAATGACAGACACACAGAGACCTACACGACCTTGCACCAGACATATGTGACTGGTGAACTGATAATGACCTGTGATTTGTGATCTTGGTTTGCACCATGTAAATATATGCTTGCTTCTGAGGGTGAGGATCAACTTGTATTGGTGCAACAGCTTGGGTGAAAAGTGTAATTAAACATTGACTAAATTCTCTACGAAGCCCCCCCAAAAATAAGTCACAGTCTCCACACGCAGGCAATTCTAAGTTACGAAATAATGGAAGGTAAATGTCACATATAACATTTAAAAAGTGATAGAAACTTCATGAAGTCCACTAAATGGTATCTCACTCACTGGCCCCATTCCAAACCGACCCCTACACCCTACCACTCTGTGACATAGGGAACTCCATCTGTGGTCACACTGAGCTGAATGAGGGTCCTTCTTTAAGGTGTAGGATGTAAATACAGCAGCAAGCTTCGAGACAAACTCTCTCTCCGGCATAAACTGTCATAACCAAAAATCTTTAGTGGCTTTTTTTGCAAACCTTTTCTTGCTTTAAATCGGAGGATTATTAGCTGCTTTAGTAACCGTACCTGTATATAAAACTTTACAATGAAATGAATACGTCTACCATTTTTTAGACTAGACATGGGTGTATATGATTCTCAGTAAAATAATTAAAATACAATGTAAGATTCAAGTTGTACTAGTACATTTTTGCGAGGAACTATTTGTTAGTTCTGGACCCATGCAGACTCGCTTTTGGAGGGTTTAATACATCCCGATCCCCACTAGTTGGTTTGAAACTAAATGTGGCGGACCCTCATAGCGAAGTGTAGATGGTAGGGAAAGGGTGTTAGGGTTCGATTGGAATCAACCCAAAGAGTCTCTCCTCTTCTCAGGTCATTGATTTTCTGGAGAGCTAATCTAGGCCTACCTGCCAACTTGTGGTTAGATATGGAATATCTGGTCTCATTTGAGAAAAAGAAATGGCAGTAAACTGACAGCTTTATCAAAGGTAGAGCAGGCAACTACATGTCTACAGTGTCATCAGTCATGACGGATACTAACAGCGTTGCACCTGGTCAGGTAAGGCAGATGGTAAGAATCGATGTAGATTTGGTGTTGGAAGATTTCATAATTTTGAATCCCTGCTGGTTTGGAACGGCACGGAATTTGCGGACCCGCCGAGCAAACGTGCACAAATTAAATTAGAAAGGAGGCGGGTGTAGGGGCTAGTTTGGAATTGTTGAAAGTAGTCTTTTTTATTAGGTTAGCTAGTGTCTATATGGTACAGATTAGAACCTTGTTAAAACTTCCTGTGGACTATCTAATACACTTAGATATAAAAGTTATGTTTTAATGTTCTGGAGTCAAGCAAATATTAGTATTCTTTCATTTTTTCCATTTAAAAAAAGATTAGTTGTGTACATAGTTTATCTTCTTCAAATGTACAAACACACACACACGCTTGTGCACACACTCAGTAAGGTATCACTTGGAGGACTAATTGTTGACAGTTGGCCCTAATGCTTTTCTTTGAAACACAAGTGTGATTTACGAGCATGGTCCCGAGACCCCGGCTTTCAGTGCTGCTTCTACTACAAACCTATCTTTCTCCCCCTCCGTCTGTCGCTCTTCCTCCTCCGTTCCCCCTGTACCATCTCTCCTTCACTTTTCTCAAATCGTACCTCATTACTTTGCTCCCTCACTTTCACCTCATACCCCACTTTGATGTTTCTGTCTCTCATCGCAGCAGAGCGGTGACTCTCCAAAGTAAGACATCCTTTTAATGTTTGATGGCCTATTTTTCACAGTGTGAAGGAATGTGTGTGTCTGTGTGTATGTGTATGTGTATGTGTGTGTGTGTATATTTGAGTCTAGAGGTTACAAAGGAGTCTAGGTCCAGACAAGGAAGACAGGACGGAGAAAGAAGGCAAGGGCGTCATTTTTCAACCAAGAGTACAAAAATTGCAATATTTATATATTTTGTCATATTGGTAAATGTTAATATAAAAGAAAACAGATGATGATCCCTCTGGATGTTTCAATACATAGATGCAAATGTATTAATTGTAATTAGACCTTGAGTTTGCAACAGCACATTTGCCTACTACAACTACAGATATAGAGTGGTGCAGGAATGAGTACTATAACGTGCAAATGGGTCAGCTTTTTATCACTTACAGTTTCCCCATCCTGAATTGTGTTTCATGTTAACAACATGAAACACAATGAGACTACTAAACGTCATCAGGCCAATCACAAGTCTACCTTTAGCTTAGACGTGCTGAAGATTTTTCATGTAGTTTGTTTATAGTTACTCCTGGCGGTTGTATTCACACTTGAACTATCATGAAGTTATTTTAGTATGTCAATATGATAATATGAGATTATCCTGCCAAACTAAATGTGTTATTATCATACACGTGTCTGCCAAAGATCTTTATTTTCTGCTATACTCCTTAATCCAATGGAGAAATCTATTTTCTTTTAGTTGCGGGAGCCCTTGTGATGCTAACTTCTGGGTCTGCCTACAAAAATATGTCACCATTGCACCACTCTGTCACCGATTATCGAAAAATGCCATTCCCTCTTAAAATGCTACAGTTTTTTTAAGGCTAACTTTTTCCACCCCTTTAAGCTAAAAGCATCCCTGGCAGTTTACTAAGAAGAAAATGCTTCCATACACTAGGCTACTCATTTTGTTTCTTCAAAGCCATGCGTTTTACAATGACAATAAATGAACCTTAAACCTTGTTACATGATTTCCAATGACCAAACTGTCAATTCCCAGTCATCTGGTTCGCTGAAGTGTTTATCAAGGTCTTGACATCACCCTGACACATTAGTTCAAGCTCAGGGGTGTTCTTGGAAATAAGTGACTTATGAGAACTGTTTTATTTCATACTAAGTAACACCTATGACAAAGTGTGTGTTTTTCAGAGTTTATCAATGTCAAATAGGGACACAGCCAGTGGGAGCAGCCATCCGTGTTGTTTGACAAACAAGGTGAACAAGGTTTTGGCAGACAGATCAGAATCCCAAGAATAGAGGTACTCGGTGACCACTCACTGGAAAACACACACACAACTGGAGTCAGTGCCTGGACCTGTCGTTAGATTAGAAAAGTTGTATCTTTTGAGGCCCATGTCTAATTTACAAACTGCTGGGTACAGCACCTTTAAATCTACAGGGACAATGACAACTTTACAATCATCATCGATTATCATGCACTATTAATCTACCGATACAAATGAAACATTATCAATTGTTCCTTTTTAGTTTTGTTTGTTGGTCTTGGGATTGGCTACCAATCATGTTTTAGAAGTTTCAACGCTAGTTTGTCGGTAAACAGGTATCCTTCAAAGATGGCCGACTTGTTGATAATGTCACATTCTTATTCCCTATTGCAAAAATATGTGAATATAGTTAATCAAGCTTTCTATCATATTTTTAACCTTCATTGATATGAACCTGAGAAATCTGGATAACCTCCTCCATGCTGCCTTGCACCAAATGCGCATTAGATGCCAACCTCAACACGCATAGGTAACAAAAACAGCAAGCCTTTCAGTTCTCCTCCCTCCCAAGCTCCTTACCATGCAGTGGAGACCCCGAGGGGCTGCTGGACATGCCAGGTATGGGGCTACAGCGTCCCCCGATGCCTCCTCCTCCCAGGATGCAGCCACCTCCTCCGATGCCTCCAACTCCTGCTCCTCCTCCTAACGCAGCTACCCTGTTGAGCTCCTGTTCAATGTCCTCCAAGCCGGCACTCTTTTGGAAGCGAGACATCCGATTTACCACCCGAGGTGACATGTGGGTGCGAGCACAGGGTGCACCGCCATAGGGGTTGATGGGAAATACATGGGTTGTGCCTCGAAGGGTGCTGATGGTAACCCAGCGACTGTCCTGGCTAAAACACATGTCTTGGACCTGGACAGAGACAGGGCAGGAACAGAGAGAGGACAGATGTTAGAGGGGGGTCTTGGGACGGCAAAAGGATGAAATAAAGTCACTGTAGTTCCACTCACTATGCCCATGATTACGTTTTAAATTCCTCGAACTATACATCATATTCACTCAAGCTGGATAGTATGCTAGCCTTAGGTCCTAGCTATGTTAGCGTATTCTGTATCTGAGCGGTCAGTCCACCAGTGGTACCTTGGTCCAGCTGGTCTGCCTTATGAGTATCGGGAAGCCATCATTTCAAGGTCTGCTGCGCTTTATAAAATCCCCATACTTCCTTTTCTAACGCCATATGTGCCCCAGTAAAAACAAAAGACTAAAAAAGACAAATAAGTAGAATTTGTATAAGAGCTACGGCTGCTTAGAAACCTTTCAAAAAAAATAAAAGTGTTCCCTATTAAGGCTACCAAAAACACTCTGACATACTCCCAAAAACGTGATGTTTTTTGTATGCTTTTACTGTGTTGATGTTTTCATAATGTGCCTTGTTGACTGCATTTTGAAAACCTAGACATGTTTTAAATGTCTGTAAAACGTGACATTGTTCTGAACTCGGGTGACAGAGTGTAAGAAATAGAGACACAGTGATTATTTAAAGACATTGTAAGTGCCTTAGCAAATGACATGTGATTTAAAGTAAAATATGTAAATTGTCAGTATGAAACAACAACAATTGAATGAATGACAACTTGTTGGTTATGTTTCATCTTTGGATTTTAATATATATGATTACTGTTTTAACTGGCGGTGAACTTGTAACCATCCTTGAACAAACATTTACATACAGTCGGATCACTAACTCCCAGATATTTGGTTTCAGCAACTCCATGCTACTTCTCTAGACTGCCATTAACTGGATGGATGGATATTTTGAACAAAGGCTAAATCCTCTGTTCTGTATTATTTTCTTCAAAACTCAGGATAGAGATTTATGCAAAACGGGGATAAACGTCAGCCAAAACATTGTCAACACAGATAATTCTACCTTTTTGGAGTGCTTGACAAAATTCGACCAGGATGAGAAGATTAGATAATAAATGAGGAGATATGGAAATATAGAAAAAGTCAGAATTGTGAATAAAAAGGCAGAATTCTGTCTGTAATCTCAGAATTTTGATAACCTCAGAACTCTTGTGGTCAGATCTCCCCAAAAAATCACATGTGGCCCTAATTCTCTTCCTTAGATACATGCTTGTTAGCATTACAAATAAATAGTTTGATGGCGATCTTTGTTAGTTTTATTCCTCAAACATAGACCTAATCTCAGGCAGAAGACCCTTCAGAAGAAGGATCTCCCTGAGCATCAGCCATGCAGAAAACCAGCCAGATGACAAAACAAGCAAAGGAGTGATGTGACCAACTGATAAGGTGAAAGTGTGCTGAAATAGCATCTATTATTCCACATTCCATAAAAAAATTAGACCCAGTAGACTGGACTAGAAAAAAAGGAAAGTTGCTGTGAAGAATGTCTAACCCTTTAGCCAGCAAGCTAGCCAGCCAATCAGAAAGACATTTGTGTACCTGTAGGCCTCTCTTATCTTTCGCCAAGTCGAACTAGGTAATTGTACCAAGCAATGACAGTTAATGGGGCATCCTCCGAATACCAGACAGTTACTTTACTTCACAAAGATGAGTGAAAGAAGAGGCATGACCTCTGCTTAGGCTGATTATGGAAAGCTTGGCGATGAGAAAGGGCTACTTTGTGCACACTGTAATTGGTCATAATAGACCTGTCAGAGCTTCAACTGTATATTGGCGACTGGACCGTACTGTCAAATCTATTTTATCAGACAGCGGGTAACCTTGAAGGTGGCTGTTATTGTACAGTCATAGCGTGCCAAACATGAATATACCAAACATTTGCCAATTGGTACTATCTTAATAAAGTCTCATGCATGAGCTGGTGTGGAGGTTTCACATTCCAAAGCAGCTCCGTCATGTTTTCATCCATAGGAATCCCAAACCCAATAAAATACCCAATATTAGCGGTGTGTGTGTCTGCCCAAGGACAAGTTAAGGTAAAACCTAATAGAGGTGTCATACATAATAACCTAATAAAAGTAAATGTAACAACTACTACAGTGCAACAAAACAGGAATATTAAATGTGGTCTCTTAAACATAAGATCTCTAGCATCTAAAGCAATATTGGTAAATGATTTAATATCAGATTATAATATTGATATATGCTGTCTCACTGAAACTTGGTTGAGACATGAAGAATATGTCAGCATAAATGAGGCCACTCCACCCAGCCATATCAATACTCATATTGCCCGAGGCACGGGCCGAGGAGGTGGAGTTGCAGCAATCTTTGACTCAAGTTTGCTTATCAATACTAAACCAAAATTAAATTATACCTCCTTTGAAAGTCTCGTTTTTAGTCTTACGCATCCGACCTGGAAAACTTTGCAGCCAATCTTATTTGTTACAGTGTACCGTGCACCAGGTCCTTATTCAGAATTCTTATCTGAATTCTCTGAGTTTTTATCAACTTTGGTTCTTAAAACAGATAAAGTAATTATCATAGGTGACTTTAATATTCATGTTGACGATGATAAAAATAGCCTTACTGTTGCATTTAACTCTATATTAGATTCTGTTGGTTTTTGTCAGAGTGTAAATAAACCAACCCACTACTATAATCACACTCTCGACCTTGTTCTGACTTATGGTATTGAAATTGAGCAACCATTAGTCGAACCGCATAATCCTGCTTTATCCGACCATTTTTTAGTAACTTTTGAAGTACTGTTACTAGACTACAAAGCATTAGTCAAAAGCTCCTGCAGCAGAAACCTATCTGTTAGTGCTATAGCCACATTTAAGGAAGAGATTCCACCAATACTTAACTCGATAGCATGTCTGCATGTAAGGGAGGAAACTTATACAAAATGTACACCACCCCAAATTGATCATGTTGTTGATAGTGCTACAGATGCGCTGCGAATAAAATTAGACTATGTTGCTCCTTTGAAAAAGAAGAAAATAAAACAACATAGATTAGCTCCATGACATAATGCCGAAACCCGCAAAATAAAGCAAAAGTCGAGACAACTTGAAAGGATATGGCGTTCCACTAAACTTGAAGAATCTCGTTTAATTTGGCATATTACTCTCAATGAATATAAGAAAGCACTGCGTAAAGCGAGAGCAGCCTACTACTCTTCATTAATAGATGAGAATAAGAATAATGCAAGATTTATTTTCAGCACTGTAGCCAGGCTGACAGAGAGCCACAGCTCGATTGAGCCTTCTATTCCCATAGCACTCAGTAGTAATAATTTTATGTGCTTTTTTAACGATAAAATTGTTACTCTTAGAAACAAAATGAATGACCTCTTGCCTTTGACCAGTATAGTGTTATCAACAGCTCCCGGAAACGTAAGTTCTAATATTACACTAGATAGTAAACTAGAATGCTTTTCAGCCATAAACCTTGAACAATTAAATTCAATGATTCTCTCTTCTAAACCATCAACGTGTATGTTAGACCCAATTCCAACTAAGCTGTTGAAGGAAGTTTTTCCATTAATTAGCACTTCTTTATTAAATATTATGAATATCAATGTCTTTATTATCAGGCTATGTTCCACAATCATTCAAAGTAGCAGTGATAAAAACCGCTTCTTAAAAAGCACAACCTCGATCCAGAGGTTTTAGCCAATTATAGACCTATTTCCAATCTTCCGTTCCTCTCAAAAATTCTTGAGAAAGCGGTCGCAAAACAGTTGTGTGATTACTTAAAAAACAATGATTTATTTGAAGATTTTCAGTCTGGCTTTAGAACACATCATAGCACAGAGACAGCTCTGGTTAAAGTCACAAATGACATTCTAATAGCCTCTGACAAGGGACTTGTCTCTATTCTTGTTTTGCTCGATCTCAGTGCTGCATTTGATACTATCGACCATGATATCCTATTGCAAAGACTAGAGGACTTAGTTGGCATACAGGGAACTGCTTTAGGCTGGTTTAGGTCCTATCTATCTGAACGCTCTCAGTTTGTACGTGTCAACAATAAATCTTCCACGCAAACCAAAGTTAGCCATGGAGTGCCACAGGGCTCAGTGCTCGGACCTATTTTGTTCACATTATATATGCTTCCGTTAGGCAATATTATAAGGAATCATTCTGTAAACTTTCATTGTTATGCGGATGATACTCAACTATATTTATCAATCAAGCCTGATGAAATTAATCATCTAAATAAAATTCAAGACTGCCTCAAGGACTTAAAAACGTGGATGACCTTAAACTTTTTGATGTTAAACACGACCAAAACTGAAGTTATTGTACTTGGCCCGAAGAATCTACGAAACAAATTATCTAAGGATATACTAACTATGGATGGCATTAATTTGGCCTCCAGTGAGACTGTAAGGAATCTTGGTGTTATATTTGATCAGGATTTATCCTTTAACGTCCACATAAAATCAATTTCAAGGACCGCCTACTTCCATCTACGTAACATTGCAAAAATCAGGCATATCTTGCCTCAAAACGATGCAGAGAAACTAGTCCATGCATTTGTTACTTCAAGGCTGGATTATTGTAACTCCTTATTATCAGGGAGTACCAAGAAGTCAGTCAAGTCGCTTCAGCTGATTCAAAATGCTGCAGCTCGTGGACTAACCAGAGTTAGGAAAAGGGACCACATTACTCCTGTTCTGGCTGCCTTACACTGGCTCCCTATAGAACACAGGATAGAATTTAAAATTCTTCTTCTCGCCTACAAAGCCCTTAATGGGCAGGCGCCATCTTACCTTAAAGAACTCATTATACCCTACTGTCCTACTAGGGCATTGCGTTCCAAGAATGCAGGGTTGTTGGTTGTTCCTAGAGTCTCTAAAAGTACAATGGGAGCCAGAGCCTTTTCTTATCAAGCTCCACATTTGTGGAATCAGCTTCCAGTTTGTGTTCGGGCGGCAGACACCCTATCCGTTTTTAAGAGTGCGCTTAAGACCTTCCTTTTTGATAAAGCTTATAGTTAGGGCTGATTAGATTCAGCCCCTAGTTTTGCTGATATAGGCTTAGTTTGTCGGGGGACATCTTACTTCTTCCTTCTCTCTGTCTATACCTGTGTACTCTCATGTTCCGATTAACCCAGCTTCCCCAAATGTCTTTCTTTTTGGTGTCTATATACGCCGGGATCCGGAGTGATGGATGATCCTGCGCTCCTCTGTCCTGGATCGCAAGCCCTGGATCTTGAGTCGTGGCTGTGGTCCTGGATCATAGGTCCTGGATGGATATCCTCGTGGATTCATCTTCCTATTATACACACATGCATTTCCAAACATTTGGACTACCTATGTTGCAAATGTATTATCTTTTCAATTTACACACGGCATCTATTGCACGTCTGTCCGTCCTGGGAGAGGGATCCCTCCTCTGTTGCTCTCCCTGAGGTTTCTCCCATGTTTCCCTTTAAACTGTGGGTTTTCTCTGGAAGTTTTTCCTTGTACGATGTGAGGGTCTAAGGACAGAGGGTGTCGTATTGTCATACTGATATTTTGTACAAACTGTGAAGACCACTGAGACAAATGTAACATTTGTGATATTGGGCTATATAAATAAACATTGATTGATTGATTGATATTGACATCCTAGGCAGCCAGAGAGAGAGATTCTTATTATCTTAATCAGTGAAGTAGATTAGGCAGCTATGTTCACCTGAGTGAAAGTTGGAAGGAATGAAAAGCATGTGAAAAAGATGGACGGACAGATCAAATGGAATAGAGACAAGAAGAATGATAGTGTGAGAGCATTAGAAAGTGAATACAAGGAAGCTGTAAATAACAGAAAAATAAGCAAACAGGGGGGTTGTGATTGACTCTGGAATATCCCTCATCTTTTTGGGTCTGTTGGTTGATATATAAATCTGAACAAACAGCCATGACACATGGAGTCCACCAAGGGTCTCTACTTGGTCCTGCTGTATTCTAAATCTACCTTTTCAGAACACTTCTGCCCACGTTCTCACTAAAGCCGAAAGTAGAACACATCATCCGAGTGAAGAGCCTCACTGCCAAAAGCTCAAAAACATGTAATTTCCTAATATTTTCAATAAGCTTATTATTATCAACCATATGTATTACTATTAACATATTAATAGTTGAACTAATACAAAAATCCCTAACATTGCTACTCAATTACTCCCGACGTATACGTTTAAAAAACATTCAAAAACGTTTTCCTAATATCAGTTTTCACAGATTCAAGTGCTATCTGTGGCCTGTGTGGTTTAGTTAAACATATTGGAATTGATACATATAGAGAAAGAGCACATTTGCAATGTGTTTGGATTGAGTAACCGGGTTAATATAAAATCTTATAATCTAATATGCAGATGTCTAACTTTCCTTGAAGAATTCATTTTAAACGAAAGCTCATTTGATGCATTATCCAGAGTTTATTATTTTCAGCTTTCAAAACCAACGTGCATGTAAACACATCAGCCTTCAAAACACAAATCACTGCAATCACAGCTGATCGTGCAGGGCTGCAGAGTAAAGCAGTGCTGGAGTTTCACCCCTGTAACCTCAGTGACTAGCACTTTCCAGTTTGCCCCGTGGCTCCGCTCTGATCTACATTCTGGTCCTCCTTCAGTCCCTTACATGTGTTATCAGCTAAGGTCTGTTTACCTGGCCTCAGGTCACTGACAGCCAGCCGCATGTTTGGCCGCTAAAGACAGATAAGGCGTCTCTCCACCCACCTATCTGAAGACTTTATCACTCTGTGTGTGTGTGCCTGTGTGTGTGTGCCTGTGAAGGTGATAACCCCTGGCCAAAGCGTTAGGCTAGGCCAGCTTTCAGTGTTTACAACAGGCAGGATCAAAGCAGGCTCAGTGTGCAGCCGGTCAGCGGACCTGCCGTTTGGTCATACATTAACCAGGCTGTGAGAATGTGTGTGTGTGTGTGTGATAGTATGTTTTACCAGTCAATAACCCTGAACCGAACAAGGCCTGAAGTAGTTTTGTTGAGTAAGCACTTGCAATGCAAGTGTGTCACGGGTGAGGAATATTCAAAATAGGAGATATTAATAATATGTTTCATTTGTGATTTATGCTAACTCATTATATTCCTGCTAGTCCCCTAATAAACATAATGTGGATGTAGTGTGAAACTTACAATATATGTGTGCCCCTGTCTGTTTAATTTGGAGTTTGGACAGCTTCTACTGGCACAGGTGCATATCATTTACTACTAACAATAGGATTGTAGTTTCAACCGTTCATCGTCATGGTCCATAGTGGCAGCAGTAGTACAGTATTACAGACTTCTATAGTACACAAATAGTCTAGTGATAGTTTTCTATGGGTACATTGCATACAGGAAACGTAAATAGGTTATTCTGCATACTTCCTCTGCGTTCCTTTTTAAAAAAAAAACACTTCTGTTAAGCCCCTGTCACACTGTCCCGAAATTGACACCCGATGGACACACGATAAAGGAAATGTTCAAATTCGGCTCTGATCGTAACAACATCGGGCCATTCGTGAGGGCATCTTAAGCCATCGTATGACCGCCGGTGGAGTTTCTCAGGCTCCGGCAGCAACTTTGTGAGCGGCAACTTCGTAAGGCACTCGTGAGGGCATCTTGTCAAATCGTGTCATCTTCGTGTTATCATCGGTGCATTCATGTGTCCATCGGGTGTACATTTTGGGACAGTGTGACAGGGGCTGTAACTGGAACTTCATTACGGCTTCATATTTGCTGTACAAAATGGTGTCAATGTGTCTCCAGTGCTGGCCTGAATCCTCCTTATTTTCAGCTAGATTATAAAAAAGTTGCTAGGTTTCATAACTCTTTAATATATTTATAATTTCTCTTGTCTCTTGAGACTTTTTCGTTTTATGTCAAGAGACCAACATCAAAAACCGTTGTATGTAAAGTTTTACATGCCTCCCAAGCTAGTATTTCTTCAGGTTTTTTTTACATAGATCTTGTTGAGTTTTTACTTCAATGTGGAAGTGTTTGTGGATGCAACATTTGACACAAACAACTTATTTGGAAATTAAAATAAAGGAGAGAGTTGAAACAGTTTAACAATGTAAACGATTATGATTTTCAGGGCTATTTCAACACGATGATGTGCAGATGTGTGTGTATCCCATACCTTGGCTTCAGTTTCCCCTCGATGCAAGGTGTAAAGATGGTGCACAGTGCTCTGTGATGAGGCCCATGGGTGGGTCAGAATGTGAAAGACGTGAAAATCATGGCCCAGAGTATCTGCAGTCACCAGCAGCATTCCTAGAACAAACAAACAGTCATCAACATTAGGAATCACTCCGACAGCTGGCTTCAACATTAATTGTTATATCGTCACTTTTACAGTTTGTGATTTTTTTACTAGAATATTTAATGTGACGTTTTTGCTTACATACTACATTTGCTGGAGCTAAACTCACAAAATAAGGCCAGATTTTATATTTATATTTTCTATGAATCAAGAAGGAAAGTATTTGAATGGCATGTTGTCTTCAACATATGTGGAAAAGTGGAAGTCTTTGTGTTTTCCCTTTGTTGTAGTGTGTCATAAAGGTTTTTTGCATGCAAATGGTCTGGAAAGGCTAAAACCCCAAACTCCCCTCCAGAGGGAGTTTATCTTCCACACACTCCCCCCTCCCCACGCCGGAAACGCCTCCATTGGAATATGTGTTTACTTCGGTAACATAGTGACATCACTATGTAACACTCACCATTCAATTGGCTAGCGCTTCAACACATTGTACGTAATAGGCTAATGGCGGGACATCTCTAAGAGGTTGACCAATCTAAACAGAGCCGGGCCGCTAACCAATCAGAGCAGACCGGGCTCTGGTTTCAGACAGACGGTGAAAAGAGGTGCAGTGTGAGAAAAATAAATCACTTTTTTAAACATGTCACAGGAGAGGTACAAAATACAAATATGAACCTGAAAAATACCATAATAGGGCCCCTTTAAATATCAATATCCTTGCCGAGTCTTTAACTAGTTTCATCTTACAAAGGTGATACAATCATTTGAAAATTGAACGATTAGGGTCACTAACACACACTTACACGCTTTAATTCCCAAGTACATTTTAATTGATCAATAGTTAACATAACTAATCCAAAAATGTATAGAATAACAATTGTTTTTTTTTTATAATCTAAAATTTAGAGAAAACTAAAATATCTACTTTTTTTCCTGGCAAAGTTGACCAAAATACTCTAAATCATGCCAGGGTGTTGACACTAGTAAACCGATACACAGTCAGGCCAACCAAAATATTTAAACTGTATTTAGCTCCAGCGGCTCTCACAAAGAGAGCAAACACTACCAACTGCACAGAGCAAAGGCTAGACAGCATGACAGAATTACTGTGCATTTAAAACAAACCAACCCATTACAACAAAGCCAGCCATCATTTGTCGATGTCATAAAATGCAGCCTTCACTGCATGATAGCGTGTGGTTAAAAGGAGGGTTTGAGTCGTGTGCTTCCTCGAGGACGGACACGACGATGATTGTCAGTAAAAGAGAACATCCATGTATTCAGACATCCGCGTATGGTCATGGGTGTGTGTGTACACACTTAGATTCACCCCCACAGTGTAACCCCCACTGACAGGCCCATTCATTTGGTCTAATTTTATTTAAGGTCATCAAACTGCAGAAATGATAGGCCTCCACCATAAACAACATGCTCAACAAACCACACCACAACAAACCCAGATCCAAACTAGCTCAGTTAGGAAAAACACAGCACAGCTTTTCAAGCGCATCCCAAAACCTTTAGCAGAAGCTTTGAGATGTAACAACCTTAGATTGGGGCAGTAACTCAAACCGTTGGAAACACATCACTTATAGAGTGTAAGACTTGTAAGAAAAAATATGCAAACATAAGTCTTTTTGACAACTCCCTGACATAAATGATATTAAAGTAATTAGTACTTTTCCTCCAAGTTTTTCCCCCATGGAATTTGTTATGCGAAGGCTACAGTAGGTTGTAATTAGTGGCCGGGCTTTATTGGGTGGCATGTCAAATGTGAAAAGAGGAGGCTGACATGGCATGAGATTAAAAGATTTAGCAACACATGCGAGGGAGATGGAAACACTCCCTCTCTTGAAAGAAAAAGCCTAAAAGTTTTGCACATTCATTCAGAATTAAGAGTTTTTCAAAGTGTTGTACTGGGGAAGAGTTATATTTAAAGATGATGAAGAGGTGGAATGAGGGAGGTGGCTGAGCGATGGGGTCATGCAGATTGTCTTACGGTAGGTTGAAGGAGGAGAGAAGAAGAGAAGCCAAGTGAAGTGTGCATTAAGACAGTGGTTAGCTATTCATGCTGTATCAGAGCAACCAGAAAGCCAGAGAGCTATGGCCCAGGGCCTGTAAACTCTTGAAAACCCACGCCCCAAACGAGGTGCCAAGCCACAAGAAGCATTTGCGTCAACTGGGAATACAGAGAAAAAAGGGACGGGGCCCTTCTAATTATAGAGTCTGGAAACGGAAGCGCAGGGTGATTAGGAGTTGAGGCGCTGTGGTCTGTTTATCTCTCGAACCCTCTATCCCCCACACTCCACTCTTTCTCTTTCTTCCTTATTTCTGTGTTTTGGTCGGGCCCTGCCCACCCAGTGGCTGGAGAGTCTGGCCCCTTGGTTTCTGACGGATGAGACATGGCCACTGTGTCCTGGCAGGGGCCGGCTTTTCTCTTCTTCTGCTGATGGTGGTGGAGTCTGGGCTCCAAAAAAGTAACAGCTCAGAAAAGCTGGAGAGCTTTGTGTGTGCGATTGCCTGAGGACTGGGGCTTTTGTGGCCTTGTTGAAATACAGAGGCCCTCGCCGAGAGGCGTCAGTCGGTTAGCCCGCAGGATGGCCAAATTAAAAAGTAGCTGAGCCGCCCGGCGGGTGAAAAGAGAGGGTTTCAGGAAAACCAGAGGCTGGCTGGAGCAGGGTTTGACACGTCCTATTTATAACACCTTGTCCCAGGGGCTACAGTGTTATTTACGATGTTTTAGTACAAAAATTGCTGGCACAAGCACTTAGACATGCGCTAAACTGGAAGGGATGACCTCTAATTTGCCATGTGTGCGAGACATGCATTTGAATGGGACATGAGGGAAGTGATATAATCATTTCCATAAATATCTGCTTTCTGTTTTTTTTTTCCCCCAAAAAATATTTTCTTTTGCTGCAGGCTTTGCTGTCCCATCTCTGACCATCCAAACAGAAAACATCTGCTCAATCCCATTAATAGTGGGAGGATGTTTCATTTACAAAGTGGTTGGGATAGCTTTATTCTCGACAAAGGCAGATGGGACCAGGGAGTGGGAGTGGGAGAGAGAGAGAGAGCGCGAGCAAAGCAGAGGAATAAGTGGAGAGAGCAACAAAGAGGGCCATGATTTCCCTACTTGGCAACACAAAAGGCCACAACAAAACTAGTCCACTTTTTAATTAACAACACTAGGCCCAAAAAAACCTTTGAAAATCTGAAAAAAATCTAAAACTATAACCATGTGGAAGGCATAAAGCTCAAAAGATGAAGTACTTGTGGGACTTACTGTTACCGGGAGGAATAAACTTCAGAGCAAATGAGCCCAATGCACAAATGAAAGAGTATCCATCGTAAGAAGAAGCTTTGTCTTCAGAGCTGCCAGGTTTGGGGGAAAGACAGGACTTTTTGTGGCTGTATGTATTTACACATATACTGGGCATATACAATACAGATTAATGTTATATTCTAAGAACACAAATAACCAAAGTGTTACTTCGAGCAACTAACAGTTAACAATCAGTCATTATACAATGTGTCTCCCGACGTCCATCCACTTACCAACAACTCTCTACTATAATGCTTTACTTTAAAATGTTCTTTGATACAAAAAAAAAAATCCTGTAGAATGAAGCAGCATCTGTAGTGACAAAGATCAGAAAGACAGCAAACATCTTGCCTGTCCTAAAATCCCATCATGGGATGCCTGTTAATTTTTTTCATTTGATATTAGCATCCTTTTATTAGTCTTTAAATCACTTCACATACCAGCACCTGAATTATTTTCAGATGTATGCTCAATATAGATCACTCAGGTTCTCTGACACTGATTCTTTCATTGATTTCAAAGGTGAGGACGAAGGAGGAAGTTACCAGGCCCTCGCTTCTGGAATAGCTCTGTATATGTACAGTAAGTTACTATTGCTGAACATAAATTAGTTATTTTTTAAATAATTGCCAAATTTCCTAGTCAAACGCAATGTATTTGTTGTTGAAGAAACAATAAGAAATGGCAGATATAAACCAGAACTATTATTGATATGGTTGTTATACAATTTTGGCAATGATTGAGCTATCTGACGCTTGAAAAAACTTGTTTGTGCTCTATGGTCATTATAGTATGTACCTCTATTAATGTTACTTATTTAACTCAAATGTATATGTTTGTAACTTTTCTGCAGGCATAAATGCTGATACCAATGTATTTGTTATCCAGTTAAGCCCCATGCCCCCGGTACCGGGGGCAAAACGCAACATCTTGCAAGAAACAGCGTCTGAGGGCTTCTTAACATTTAACAAACTATGAATGTGTCATACCCACTTAACGGGAAGAAACTCAGCTATCAGAGAATATTAACAATTTTTAGCTAAACAAAACACAAGGGTAATAACAAGCCTCTGAATTAGCCCTGAGCGAAAAAGGCTAACGCACTTAGCACAGAACTCACGGTAGAAATACTTTATTACTTATCGGATCTGCACAAACAAGATATCAGCTAGCAAGCTGAGATTCCACAGATTCTATAGGTATAAGTATCATCACTGTGTGATCAAAACTCGCGGCAGGGGAAGCAAACCCAGACAACTAGTGATGGCAGTTTGACACTGAAGCTTCGATACGTGCTTCAAACTCTGGTTTTCCTATTCCATAGAAGTAGTGCTTTGAAGCTTGCTTCAAGTCACGTGACATACAACGTCAGAAGCAGCAACTGCTTCATTTTCTGAATGAATCAACTCACTGGTTCGCCATCCAATCAGGTGATTCAATGCACTGCCTCGTCTCGATTCTGACAGGTGACAGATTGAAACAGTTTCGAATTTGAGCGCTTCAACACTTTATAACCGCTCTAAACAATGCGCAATGTGTGGGTTGTTTTCGTAGTTTGTGTTGTTGCTGTTGAGTTGTTGCTGTTGAGTTGTTGTTGGTATTGCATTTGTATTGAATCATTATAGAGCAAGCCAGGAAGAAAGATAGGTCGTTCTGGCTCGGGAAACACTTCAAAATGTGGAGAAGTTTTGAACAAAAAGACAATGAGTATTAAAAGAAAAGTTCAACAGTTTAAAGAATATATAGCCCAGTGGATAGAGCGAGCGGCCCACATGGGGCGACGTCCTCCGTGCAACTGGTTCAAATTTTGGAATGGATGAACTTTTAATCATTGCCCGCTTTTCAACTTTAATACTATAATTGATAAAAGGCCCTCTCTTTCTGATCAAAAGTTGTGTTCAATGGCATTAAAACGCATACAACGCTGCTGAAGGTTAATCCAATGTCTCTGTGTCACTTTGAAATGATTATTGATAATCCATCTTCATATACTGTATATGGCAAAAACTGAGTTTTCATATATAGCTGCTATGATAGCTACGAGAGTGTATGACAACTTCCGGGTTTGGGCATAGAGAGCCGAAGTCCCTCCCTTTCCGGTGGTCCTCCATGGGACCTTATTTCGGAAAAATTCCAAGTCAATGGAAGAGAACATTTTTATTTCGATCCCGTTTGAATTGTGCCATGAATTACACATCTGATGTTTGTCAATTTAAAAAAAGAAGCTCATATCTTCCTCTCTGACCGGCCACCGGACCGCCGTGGAGAATTGATGACATCCAAGCCGAGAGTCCAGAGCAAAGTTTCCCGGTGAGTGAGTGGAGGAGAGCTAGCTGCTAACGGAGCTAACAGTAGTCGAGGAGAGCTAGCTGCTAACGGAGCTTACAGAAGTGAGCTACATACAGAAATGAATCTTCCACGCAAACCAAAGTTAGCCATGGAGTGCCACAGGGCTCAGTGCTCGGACATATTTTGTTCACATTATATATGCTTCCGTTAGGCAATATTATAAGGAATCATTCTGTAAACTTTCATTGTTATGCGGATGATACTCAACTATATTTATCAATCAAGCCTGATGAAATTAATCATCTAAATAAAATTCAAGACTGCCTCAAGGACTTAAAAACGTGGATGACCTTACATTTTGTTATGTTAAACACGACCAAAACACAAATACAACCCAGCTCCTGGCCTTCCTTGACATATGGGGTGTTTCTCAATCTCGAGTATGCTTGCTTGGTAGCACATGTCTTCCGAGTCACTTGCTTCAGAAGCAAGGCAATAATACTTCCTGGCATTCAGAAAACAAAGAGTGGAACAAGCTAGCAAGTGTGCAGATGTGAGATATGAGAGGCCCCGCCTTACATTTTCCGCCACAGATTTGGGGAAATTGGTCTGTGCGCAAAGCATTGTGGGGATTTTAAGACCGCGGAGTCTACACCATGGATGTATAAGAACTGGATACAGCGTGGGAGGCGGGGCCTCATTCATTCCTATGAGAGTTGCTCAATGGCGCATGATGACAAAATGGCCCAACTTTTGAGAGAGCGAAACGTCACAGATTACCCGGCATGCCTGAGAAGTACCCGTATGTGCACTCATAGAGCATGCGCAACTTTAACCACGCCGCCCAAAAGGCTCGTTCACATTAAGCACGTGAATTTGCGTACACGTAACAGCACCGCGCGTTCATGACAGCATGGTACTGGATTTATATTAACGAAGCGGCAGTTAGCAGCTAGCTAGTAAATTATGCTAAGTTACACATCAATCGTTATGTACTTTTATATTACGCTGACATCAGGATCTAGTGATATCCAAGCAACAGAGCTTTATTTAGCATGATACTTGTGTGGGTTGTACATGAAACCACTTGGTAATATATAAAAATGTATATGTTGAAGCCATTTATGATCAATTGTGAGTTAAAACTTTATCTAAAAAGTAAAGCTGATGATGGATTACTGTGGTGGAGTTAAAATAACAATAGCCTATTTATTTTTGAAATGTGATGGAGTAAAAGGATAGTAACTGTGATTATTCATGTTAAGTAGCACACAAGTAACTAAAACAATTGCAAGTGCAATAAGAAGCTACAGGAACGTTAATCTACGTCGGTAATATTAACTTTATTTAATACAACATTTACGGTACAAGATTTACATCATACAGCCCATGTAGTATAATATTTTACACATGATGAATTACAGCAAACATGTGTAATATATCCATTATTACAGCTCCGTGGGCTGGCAGTAAGGCGATATGGTCCGTTGTTATTGTGCATCCATGGGTAAAGAGAAACTCATGTAGTACTGAACATGTAACATGAACGTGCCGGGCGGCGCGGTCCCGTGGGTTAGATGCGCGTTCATAATGCCGAGGGAAATAACTCTCAGAATAACGTTATTAGCACATTTTTACAACTTGAGGAACGAAAGTTTTTAATAAGGGCTATACAAACGTTCATACTGGGTAGTTTATTTAGTTTAAAAACAATTATCCAACGAGTTACAGACCACTCTTTCCCAATGTAAGTCAATGGGAAAAAGTGTTTCCGGGCCCAGCAACCTAAAGGAAGTGTAGTACCGCCGTTTGGCCACTACGAATATTCTCATCAGACTCCGGTGCACTTCCTGGGGGCTTGGTCTACACATGTGCAGCCTCAAAATGTCTCCAAACGAAGTACGCCGGGCTCGGTAGAATTCCAAGTATGTTGGACATTGGAACAGTACTTCGGTGGCAATCAATGACGTAGTATGCTTGAAATAGTGGCTCTGGAGCAGTTTTACTCGAGATTGAGAAACACCCATGGTCTCGTACCCTTGACTAAAGAGGAAGTCTCAATGCCATTTATTTGGATTTCCAGAAAGCATTTGATACTGTACCTCACAAAAGATTACTGAAGAAGCTCTATGGGTATGGTATCCGTGGAGACATACTCAGCTGGATCTCAGACTTTCTCAAAAACAGGCGACAGAGAGTCTTTGTTAACGGTAAACCATATGGATGGTGCCCAGTTCTCAGTGGAATTCCACAAGGTAGTGTCCTAGGTCCTATACTGTTTGTCGTCTATATCAACGACCTACCCGATAATGTGAGCTCAATGGTCCAGATGTTTGCAGATTATACTAAAGTCTTCAATGTAATTAAGTGTAAGGAGGGTGCAGAAAAACTCCAGTCAGATCTCAGAGAAATGCTAAGATGGTCCGAGTGTTGGCAGCTCAAATTCAATGCAGCGAAGTGCAAATTAATGCACTTAGGTCTTCTGAACCCAAAATATGAGTATAATATGTGTGATAGATCAAAAAATATAAACCTATCTAAAACTCAGAATGAAAAGGACCTTGGTGTGAATGTTGATAATACCCTGACATTTAGTGAACATATCCATCGGGCAGCTAACAAAGTGAATGGTATCCTAGCAGTGATCCGCAGATCATACACTTATTTGGACTGATGTAGTACGTAGTTTATACACCTCTCTTGCATGGCCACTCCTCGAGTATGGGAATGTTGCCTGGTCCCCCATGTACAAAAAGGATGCTGAGCTCATCGAAAAAATACAGAGAAGGGCAACAAAGCTGGTTCCAGAACTAAAGGACCTAACATATCAAGAACGACTGCGAAGTCTTAAAGGGTCCATTGCATGGTCCTTTCTACTGATCATAATACCATTGTTGAGGGATATTACAATAGAAAAATACTGTGCAATTTTCCAAACTCAGATTGGTTTCTCATACATTATCTCTGTATAGTATGAGTTTTCACTCCCTGTGCTAAACGGCTCGATGGAGTTCCTGCCCCCACCCTACTGTGCGTCCAGTGTGCTCCGATTGGTCAGCTCTGCCACTCTGTTCTGATTAGTCAACCACCAGAGAGGCTCTGCTCTGTTGACATCTGCCGTAAAGTGGTTTAGCGGGTACTTAGCAACATAGCAATACTAGATTTGAGAAACGATAGATAGATAGTTATATAGATAAATAGATAGCTTACATATAGCATACAATGGCGTATGGAGCATACAATTTCGAACCTCCGTTCGATCCTAGAATAGACCAAATCGCGAGTCTTGCCTCGCCGTTCACTAGAGCAGACCAAACAGTGTCATTGTGGTACGTTTTTATCTAGTATATGTCTTACATTTCAGATGTCATCAGATGTACCTACAACTGTTGTTATTTAGGTGCCGTTGTGGAAACTGCGCTTTGATGCCAAGTGACGGAGAAAACGTGTGCTGCAATAGCATAAGAAAGGTAGCCTAGCTTAGTTACATTATGTCGGCAGCTAGCTGAAAACACCAACAGTAGCACACATATACCAAGATATACAGCATACATATTTTTCAAGTCAATAGACTATTATATGCACTTTTATTACTTCCATAGTAATTGAATGTTTATTTTGTAAACCTTTCCCATAGTTGGTTTAATTGCTAAACGTGTTTTGTAACACATCTTACCTTCATAGGTTGTAACACGCATGCTGCAAGTTCCAGAACCCATTAACTGCATGGTTGACCACCCAGGACTAGAGCCTAACTGCTTGAACCCATACACCCTGCAGAATCTCCACAATATTTATAAATACAGTTTCGGACCTTTGACAAATACAACGGAAGAAGAGTAAGTTATTGTTACCTGTAATAAACTACTACCGTTTGATGAAAAATAAAATCATGGTTTGCTATATATGAATGATATGTTATAGGAGCAAATAATTCAGGAAAGAAAGGCTACTAAGTATTTCCATCAAACTTTATTTTTACAAATGTACAAAATGTGTGAATGTATATTTATACACTGTACATCATCCAATCCTCTCCTGATAGGCGTTTTCGATATCTTGCGTATCGCAGCTTTGTAAGCTGGTGCTGGGGATATTTAGGGCGAGGCATCAGAGTGGTGATTCCGTCGTGTGTTGTGCTCCGGATCCGCCAGGAGTTTCCAGATCTGGCTGGACAATAAGTAGGATTTCGACCTCCTTTGGGGGGAAACGGGAGAAACAGCTGACAATCATTTCCTCCTTGGGGGGCCTGTCAAATTGAGTTGACAGGTCCTCTGGGACGTGGATTAGTTTCAGCTCGTCCACAAAGGGTGTAGGGTCCAGAAAGACTTTGTGAAACACAAGCCTCGTCAGCTCATCCACATAGACTGAAAAAGAAAGCATTGTATAAATAATTTGTTCTTGTTATTCACTTTTTGTATTTAATGTATTCTCGTTGTGATGCATTGCTGCTAGACACAACCTATAGAATAGCAAAATAAAATGAGACTTTGTGTTATGACAGAATAAAACCCTCATGCCACTAAACAGTGACTGTGTTATAAGATGCTACAGAATAAAGTATACAGTGTATTACCTGCACAACATTCCAATGAAGGGGACAACCACATTTTTTGGGGTAAAACGCAGAATTAAGTTGTGGAAGGACTCCAGGGATGAGGTCTGGTAGTGATGGCTTAGCTTTAGCACATCTTTGAGAACTCTCTTGTTGGTGAGTATCGTTTCAACTCTGGCGAGTGTTATTGAGCCTTGAGTAAAATGACAAAGATATTAGGTAAATCACCAGCACATTAGAACATTAGAACAATAATTTGCCATAACAACAATGTTATATTTACATTCTATATTGTTGATCTTATGAAGGAAGTGAAATATTGAACTTACCACCTTTTAGGTAAGGTTTATTTGCATCGCTTGCGGCTCCTACAGGATGTGTGCACTTGGGGAACAGGGGGTCATCATGCACGTGAACGTTTTGTAGGTGGTTGACCAGTGACGTCCACCTTGCCACCTTCTCCGGCCCGAGGTTGTGCTCGTCGCACTCCAGTAGACATGGTTTTTTATGCTGCGCAGCCACCTCTTCAACTTTGCGTCACAGTCCTTGTTCTGTGTAAGTTTCAGAAGTTTCTTGGACAAACCTGATAAAAAAAAAGCACATGCACAAGTTAATATTCAAGCCATAGTGTGGAAATGACGTGCTGTGATGGACAACATTCAAGGGTGTGGTGGAAATTCCACACTTCATATATCATCAACCATAACATGCATATGATAATTGCCTGTCAGTGTGACACCCTTCTGTCTGAAAAAATTTCATAGCCAGGAAACACCCATACATATTCATATCACTGTAAATTCCCATTCTAAAGAGTACTCACATTATCCTAGGATTAGTGAGTGAAATGTAATTTACAATGAGAAAAGGTGCTGTGATCAAGTGGTCTGGCAGGCCAAATTGTAGGAGATATAATGAATGTATTCAGACATTATGTCATGTCTGCTGCTGATTAGAAGCTCAGGATAAATTGCCTAGTAAAACAAAGGAATATCTTAACAAAGGACAGTGCCTCTGATTTGGTATTCTTCCATTACAACATATAGGGATAAATACCTTTTTCAAAGTGCCACACATCATAGAATTGTTCGATGTTGCGTTCCCTCAGGTACTTCTGGATCTGCGGATGACGGTCAGTCACAATGTACTCAACCGCCAAATCCTTTGACTCCAGATGATCTAGGCATCTTTTGAGTCCCTCCTTTTCCATGTGGTAACTACCACCTACTTCATTGCTCTGTTGGGGAATAACAAATAGGGCATAAATACACAGAAGCATGTCTATCAGTAATCAACACAGTTAGCTTGCCAGCTAATATGCTAACCTAATATGCAGTTTAACAGCAAGTCTAGGCTTAGCAAGAAAATCTTACAATTGCAATATTATACAGTTAGTCTGCTACGTTCGGTCATTCATTGTAGCTGGCATGAAAACAATGTTTTTCATAACGTGTTTTTCGGACGTGTAATTAGCTAAAGTTTTTGTTTTTTTTGTATTGTTATCAGACAATGATACTACAGATTATTCAATTATTATTTAAATATTTCGTTTTGTTATTGCATTCATTTGTATAGTACTGTATCATGTCTGTATCATATTTTGTTTCATTTGTATTTTCTTTGGTTTTACATGCTCGAAAAAAAATAAAAATAAAAAAATAACATCTCTAGGTTAGAGCTTCTAGCTTAGCTTATTAATGGTAGCTCGGTAGAATACACGAACGGCAACTGTAATTACTGACCGTACGGTTAAATCACCCGGAGTATACTGTCTATGAGTATTTCGTGTGTGTTTGCAGACATTCTCCTGCTATGAGATACATGTAAGGCCATGTGCTAACATCGGTGTTGAGGTCTGGGAATGCTCGTTAGCCCTCGTGTTTACCTCGGTAGCATAGCATTAGCATAGCATAGCATTTACACAGTCGTGGTAGATACATTGTTTGTTTTAAACAGAATAAATACACAAATCACAATGAATACTTACAGGTTGTGTACCCGAATCTCCCGCTGGTCCAAACAAAGTAGGAACAGCATCGTCCTCCAATATCAGCTTTGCAAGTCCGAAGCTAAACATTGTTACGTTTTTAAAGCTTTGGTCCGTGAAATGCCGCGCACACACAACAGTACCGGCTGGTAAATCAGCTGGAACAGTGTTAAAAAGGAATGTCAACCACTGACTTCGTCGTGGTTCTGCCTTCGGTACTGCAAACATTGTGGATTTCTCCACACAAGACAGGCAACAGACCCTCCGCGACATGACTGGATAGAGCTTTGAAAAGAAGCAGGTTTTACGACACTTAATATGGTCGGCTGGCAGAGGAAGTGACGTCACGCGGTGCAGCTACGTCACGCGGGGCAGGAAGTAAACAATGGAAACTGAGAAATCTCCAACGAGGCTTTTGGGGGAGGTATTTTCTGTGTTAGAGTTTTACTCCCTACAGGGTGTACTTTGAGGGGTTTTGACTTTGCAGACTGTTTACATGCATGGACACCTTCATAACACACAAGGAGACGGGTAATAACCGGAAAAGCATGCAATGGGCCCTTTAAGATCCCGAGCATGTATTATAGAAGGGCAAGGGATCGAAGTTTTCAAATATCTCCACAACATCTACAAAACATCATGCCCATTACAACGGGATTATAACACCAGGACTCGTGGACACTGCCTCAAGTTGAAGAAACAGTACTCAAGACTGACTATCCGCCACAACTTTTTCAGCCTGTGTATGGTTTACTTGTGGAATGATCTGCCAGAAAGCGTGGTCACATCCAAGACTGTTAACTGTCTCAAGTCCCGCCTCGACTATTACTGGTCAAACATCACCTTCACATTGGACTATGTGACTGTTGCCAGCATCCATAGTATATGAAGAACAGTCATCTACTTATTTATGAGCGACTAAAAGGCCCTAGGCCTACTACAGCCTTATCCTATTGATTGATTGATTGATTGATTGAAAGCTGCCTGCCTTCCTTCGATTCTCCCTGAAATGCCTGATCTTTTTAATGTTCAATGTTAACCATTTGTGCAGATAGCCTGAAGTAGAAAAAATCGCCGATGCTAATGTAGCGTACTGGGGGAGGGGGGCATCCGGGCTTAAAACGGTGTATTATAGAATGATCACACCGTTGTGACAGTACTTTTCAAAGGGTTCACGAAATATGACTACCACTCTTACATTTTGGGTTACTTAATGTTACTTCATGTTAAGGCTAATAAAAATGACACAGCTAAGGCTGTAATGCTAACTAACGTGCTTGCTACTAGCTAGGTAGCTAACATGATCCAGCCACTCCTGGTCCTTTCATCAGACGGGAAGCGAAAGAACGAGCAAGGCCCATTGCTGGTATGATTACAACCTGGTACAAAGCACTCAGGCATCTTGTTAAAGTTATCTTATCTTAGCTATCTCTTATATTTAGTGGAGGAAAACAATTATGACATCATTTTCCAGGGTCGCCGAGGGTGCTGGCGTTGTTTGTTCGCTGCTCCTCCGCCCCAAATCGTATTCTTTAGTCCAGATCGGAACCTCTCCTGTCTGGCTCTCTACTTTTTAAACGTCAGTCATCAGCAAAAATAGCAGTATCTCTCTATCGAATCGACACAGACCTTTGTGTTGTCATCTCCTACCTGCTGGCTCTTTCCTGCTCACCGGTCCCTAGCCCGCTAGCTAGCTAGCATTATCGGTTACCTGCTACCTAGATGCTCCTCGGCTCCCTGAAGTCTGCTGAGCTAACATTTCTGTCTCCACCCCAACTTCACCCTAACTCCACCCTAACTCCGCGGCTCGTGTGGGTCTTCCCATCCCGCTGCGATCAGCCGGCTTCCCCGTTGACATTGTCTCTCCCAGCCGCCTAAAGCCGGTGGCTATCAAGCATTTTAACATTCATGTTGACGACCCGACCTGCAAATATGCCTCTGAATTTAAGGAAACCCTTCACTGCTGCAACTTCTCTCAACACATCAACTTCCCAACACACAGCCGTGGTCACATCCTGGACTTGGTCTGCTCCACTGGTCTCACCATCCATCATCTGTCCAGCCTCAATCCACACATCTCTGATCACCTGGCCATCATCATGGACATCAACATCCCCATCCCCGCCCAAATGCAAAAACGCACAATAACCTACAGAAATCTCAAATCCATCTCACCTTCAGCAATCACTACCTCCATTACCTACAAGATATCTGTCTCCCCCCACTTTCTGAAAACCCATCTGAACTTGTGGACTATTATAACAGCACCCTCTCCTTCTGTCTCAATGAACTGGCCCCCACAACAACAACAAATGTCTCTTTCATACACTCCGCCCCCTGGTATACCCCGAACCAAAATCAGCAACATTTACAGCAATCTGACACCCTCATCAGCAACCCCCACCTCCCCTCCTGGCTCCCCCCCTCCTGGCTCCCCCCCCCCTTCACCTCACAGCCCCTGTCCCACTTCTCCCCTGTGACCCCCATGCAACTGTCCGACTTCATGGCTGGAATTAACTCCACCTGCACACTTGACCCAATGCCCTCCAAATTTGTTAAAGAGAGCCTCCCTGCCATCTCCCAACTCATTGCCACCATCATTATCTCTTCCCTCAGATCTGGATCACTTCCCCCCTCTCTCAAACTGGCTGCTGTCACACCCATTCTCAAAAGACCTGGACTCACACCGGACATGATGTGCAACTTCCGGCCCATCTCAAATCTCCCCTTTCTGTCAAAAATACTTGAATGTGTCATTGCCTCAGAACTTAAATCCCACCTCAGCTCCAATGACCTCTTTGAGCCATTTCAATCCAGTTTCCGATCAAAACACAACACAGAAACAGCTCTTCTGAAAATCACAAACGACATCCTCCTCTCCTCTGACTCCGGCAACCAGAACATCCTCATCCTCCTCAACCTCACCGCAGCATTCGACACCATCAACCAGGCCATCTTGCTCTCCCTCCTCGAATCATCACTCAACATCACCGACACTGCACTCTCCTGGCTGAAATCCTACCTCACCGACAGACATCAGTTTATCAACAACTGCACCTCCGACACTGCTCCTCTGTCCCAAGGCATCCCCCAGGGTTCGGTGCTTGGCCCCCTCCTCTTCATCCTCTACATGCTCCCCCTTGGCAAAATAATTAGTCGTCACAACCTTCAATTTCACTGCTACGCCGATGACATCCATCTTTATATCTCAACAAAAACCATCACCGCCACAACACACTCCACTCTCACCAACTGTCTCTCAGAAATAAAAGCATGGATGCAAACAAACTATCTCCAACTGAACAGTGCCAAATCAGACATCATCATCATCGGCCCCCCATCCCGTACCCGATTTGTGGTCGAGCCAAAGTGCTGTACATACACAGCCAAAGTACTGTACATACACTTTACAGCTAATACAACAGCACAGATTGTTCAGAATATCAGTATGAGAAAAACGACACCCTCTGTCCTTAGACCCTCACATCGTACAAAAAAAAAGCTTTTAGTCTCCGATCCTATCATTCAAGGGTGGTTTTCACTATAAGTAATGTTTTTCTTTTGGACGGACACTATAATTGAAATTGTTTTACGATGTTCAATCTGAATTTACTTTAAATTAAAAAAAATGACATATTGATTCTGACTTTTCTACATCCAACTCACAGGTTTATCGTTGCTTTGAGAAAAAAGATTATTAATTTACCCCTTTTAGAAGTGAAGCTATAGTCATTTGTTCTGGGAATGTCATTTTCGAGCCTGAGACCTTAAAAACAGGCTTGGGGCTTAACAGGTTATTAGCAAGGAACAGCTATCAGTCTGCACAAACTTATCTTAACTGTCATAGTCACATTAAAATTAAGAAAAATATGATTCAGAAGAAAAACAATTCTGATTAACTCAGATTTCTGTTATCTTTAAAGAGCAACTTAAAAACCTGCTGAACCACCCTGAGGCTTTTTCTACCTGGACTTTAAATCTATTCATGTATACAAAATGTTGAACACTGGCACACTCCACTCAGAAAAGAGGGTAGGTGTCCGTCATTATGCCCCAAAAATGGCAAACTCCAGACGGTCTTGGTTTTACAGGTTTCTCTAAACTCTCTTTTACCCAAACCTCATCCATTCTTTCTAGGAAAAGAGTTTGATGTCACTGGAATAGACCGGAACGTTGTCTCTTTTTGACAGGGCAATACTTATATGGCTTTAAAGTTCATCATACATAAAAGGGACACCTTAGTGGTCAAGTACACAAAGCTTGACTTTACTTTAATTGAGATCTTTTTATGAAGGATTTCTAATAGCACACAGGATAAACATGCTGCATGAGGAGGTGAGAATGTTCAGGAAGCCTCTGTTTCTGACAAAGTTCATCCGACAAAGCCACAAACCCAATTTACTGCATCTAATCTAAATTCCCAGTAAATCTACCTTTTCTTTGTTTTTTATTCCTGTAGTTTTTCACCATGGAACAAACATGTTCTCACAGCAGCTTAGAAAGACCTTTGACACTAGGGCTCTTTTGATGTCATGTTTAAAAAGCCCCAAAACAAATTGCTCCTCTCCACAATCTACTGATAAAGAATTAGGGCCTGTGATCAGCCCTTAATCCCTCTTCTGAGCAAACAGGCAGACAGAGAGGCTTGAGAGGTAAGCCCCTTGCATTAACACAGTCTCTTTTTAAACATTTTCAGGGTTCTGTTCTGCTCTGTTAACGAATTAAATCCCTTTAAAAATGTACAACCACTACTACTCTTAGGTAAGATGTCACAATGCTTGGATTGTCCATTGATTTACTGGAGAGCTGTGTGTGTGAGAGCAATACAACAAGTGTGGGACAACATGGATGTTAAGTTGGACTAATTTAAAGTTGTGCAAAACACCCTTTTTTGGGTTTGTTTTGAAATAAATTGGAATTCTCAAAAGCATGCAATATTTTTTGTTGCAGAAATATGTTTATAGGGTAGCTGTTGCTCAGGGGGTAAAATGGGCAACACCACCCAATGAGAGGGTCAGTGCTTCCATCCCCAGTCAATATGTTAAACCCCTCAAAGCGCTTTACATAATCCATTCCGTAACGTGCCACTGGCTCAAGGTAACTAACATTCTCACACATTAACACACATACAACTCGGGGTTGCCTAAGGAGACATCGACAAGTTAGGGATGGGATAGAACCCAGAACCTTCGATTGAAAAACGACCGCACTACGCATTTAAGTGTCCGGACACGTAACCCTAAATCACTCCCGTAAACTAATCTAAAGTATTGCAGTTTATGTAAGTTGCTTTGGATAAAAGTGTCAGCTAAAATAACGTGTAAAAATGAATCAAAGAAAAGTTGATTCTCTAATAAAAGTCAGGGCTTTGGTTGGGACGGACAAATAAATGCAGCCCTTCAAATGTAGACAACGGTGCTGCCAGTAACTACTT